TGTTATATATATATATCGCCTTTCTAGATTGGACAACAGCATTCCTATAGAAACCGCGACTGAAAATTTCACAAGTTTGAACTCATTTTTGGCAATCAGGTTTTTGTAACCAGAAGTGATGTCTTCGATATGTCGGCTCATTTTACCCATAGAAGTAAAAGATCTACATCTAGACTACTACGAGAGATTTGGAGTCATCGAAAAATTTCGAGAAAATTACCAATTGGCAGCATCGTCAGGCCACTGTTTCATTGTCAATCATATCTACTAATTGAAAACGTTCTGTCAGCCTCCAACCCGATCGATCTTAGACAGTACATTACCATTTAATATTTTGTCAAATCAGGTGATAGGAAGCTTCTGATCAAATGGACCTAATGTTCTTTCTATTGTCCTGTCAACGCAGAATTTCAGAAGAAATGCATTTTTTTGGTGATAACCCGGGTCTGCTACTTAAATTGTAAATTCAATGGAATCCCGATTTTTCGAACCTCCAAGGGAGACGGAAATTGATTCGAAAAACCGGAGAGTTCGAGAAATCGGGGGCAAAATTACAGTGTTTGACTAAGAAGAGGAAACGACTTCTGGTTCGAGTTATCTGGAAGTTCAAAAATGTGAGGGTTTGAGAAATCGGGATTTCACTGTACTCTTTCATGTAAAAGCACAGAACCAAATGTATTTATTTCATTCGATCTTCTGTAATCAAATTACAAGAGAGAATGTAGAAAATATATTGTACATATTAATATATGGTTTATGTTAAATACGCTGGAAAAAGCAACGAACAGATTTGCCACAATCCAACACCCTTTAACACCTGAACACAGAGTGCAGTTTTATAACCGTACCTCACTGCCTAGTGCCAGGCTTAACTCTGCTACGGGTGAAGGTTGAATGGCTAAACACCCCGGCTAAATTGCGCATAACCTTTAAACATAGAGGATATTATACGTTGGCGTGAAGAATCAAGATAACAATTTTATTTTCGTGTTGAAAACAATATTTTACGAACAAGCGCAGTGTATTTTCCAGTAAAACACTCGTGTCCCTGTAACAAAATGTGCTCGTTATTTACAGCAATTTTTTGGACCATTTTCGTATTTTCGGTATTGGACTGGAAGTGGCTTGCAATTGAGGCTATTGCGGGAAGTCTTTTCAAATGTAAATGACATTAATCTCTTTTTAATATTATTCCCCCGCATAAGCCTCCATTGCAAGCTTGTTCCATTCCAATACCGAGAATTCGAAAATGGCCTATTGTATGGTGTGCCCGGAGCGACAATTGAAATTGTCATTTATATGACAGTCCGCGGGAAAAATAGATGTATCTCCACATCATATTGCGATAAAAGATTGTCCTGACACGAATCAGTATCATTAATTTCTAGTTCCCCAGCATTTTCATCACCCCCTCATAGTTAATTAAACAACCATGCAGCCTTCTTCAACAGCTTGGTTGGGTTTTCGCTTGTATGTTCGGCGATACTTCTCGTCAACATTCGTCAGATAATATGTGCCCGGAAGCAGATCTTCCACGGAACAAGCAGGCGAATAATTACTTTTGTTGTGTGTGTTTTCACGCGCGGTAAGAGTTTTCACAAACTCAGCAGGTTCAACTTGGCGGCGGGACGCCAAGCGTTCTGGAATATCCTTTAGTGACGTCACCAGGGCGTGCAGGGGCGAACTGGAATTAATATCGCCAGAAATTCGAAAAGAGAACATGGCCGAAGCGAGTCCAGAACCGTACGAGAACAACATCACTCGTTTACCAGCCAAATCCTCAATAGCCTCGCTGCAAAATAAGTAGCAGCACTCATGAATAAAAGTAAGAAGGCCATGCAAGTTAATTCAGTCTCGCTTGACGCACTCAATGCTTCCTTCGCTCTAGAGACATTGGGGACTGGACCAGAAAAATTCAATACTGATCACGTATCTCTACAGAGATCCGTGTGGCGTCTCTGATTGGTTGTTGATCAGTTTGGAATTCTTGCACGCAAAAATTAACCAATCAGAGACACTACACTGATCTCCGTGGCACTTCGTCTTTCGGATCCAGTTTCTCGAGCGTGGGAAGAATTAAAGTGCGAAGAAGAGTTTACAACAAGCATTTTCAACTCAATTTGGTACCAATTTGAAAATCCACGTTGAGACGATTTTGGCCAACACCAGTCAACTGTCTTAACAAGGTTCGTACTCTTTTGAGCTTTTAAAATTCCATGACTTTCCATGAACTTTTCCATGATCTTTCCTGGTTTTCCATGACCTATGTTATACAGTTGTCATCAAAGTACCGTCTAAACAATCTATTATTATATAAATATTATTCCAAAATGGCCGCCATTTAAGTATTCTTTTGTTTACTTGCAAAATAGCCCTTGTTGCCTCGTTCTTAAACTCGAAATTCAAAAGAATATTTTCCCTTAAAGAGGCAACAAGGGCTCATTTTCAAGTAAACAAAAGAACCCCAAAATGGCGGCCATTTTGGAATAAGGAGTATTTTGAGGTATTTTCCCACTTTATGACACAGAGTGTGTCCTAGTGTTTACTTTTTACTGGAATTAAAACTTGATTTCTGACTTGTCTTTTATTTTGTCAACTTTTGCTCTTTTTGCCCTTTTATTCTCAGAAGTATATTGCTTTTCCATAACTTTCCATGAACCACACTTTAATTTCATGACTTTCAAGGCTTCGAAACTGAAATCATAAGATTCAATGACTTTCCAAGTTTTCCACAACATGTACGGGTGGCCCTGCTTAAGCATATAGCAAATTCAGAAATTCATAATTGGCCATTACCTGAACAGTAGAGAAGCCAAACATCCATAAAGTGAAGGGGTGTACATATTGCCAACATCACGTGAGATACACAAAGATGGTGCCGTCTTTTTGTCATACGCATTCTGACTGCATTTCATGGACGCTTTTTCAACTTCCTTCCCTTTAGCCTCATCTTGAAAAGTGTCTTCAAGTTTAACATCTCTAAGTGAAACAAAAGGAACAATCAATGAATCATTAGCGCTTGCCACTAGCTGAAAAAAAAAAATTAAAAGTAAGAACGGTTTATTAGCCATAAAAACTGACCGAAATTTTGCCAGGTCAGCATACTTCTCTCCACCAGAACTATCGCCTTCAGAATCACATAGAAAGTCGTGGAACATTAATCGAGCTAAAGATTTCTGCACAATCCGGCAGAATGGTGTGTGGAATAAAGCATAGTCTATATCGTCTAATGTAAACAGCGTCTTGCAGTACAGACGCTTTCCTTTCTCTGTGTATCGTGAATAACACTGGTCCAATGCTTGGAAGTAGCAGCGGACTGATAGTTTGCCATCCACCACAGGATATTCAGAAGACATGTTCGGTTTGTAAAAATCATAAGCATGTTGCATGTGTATAGACCTCATACCTACACAAAAGAAATCAGAGAAGAGAAATGTGTTTATTTTAGGTGACTGTCTGGTGTTTAATTAGGTTGCATTGTATTGTTTCTCTTTGGGATAATCAGACCTTTATATACCACTCGTTGTGATTTTTACACCAGTGATGTCAACCAGTTTACTAAAGGCTATTTTTTCCTTAGTATAGAAATTGCTGTGTGGGAGGTGGTGTTTTTACGATTGCTTGATGTTAAATACACTATAAAGTGCATTGCCATTACTTGGAAGGTGATGCAGGATTCAAGACTGTGATAATGAACTGAGTGCAGTTAAATTGTATTGAGTAATAAGATCTGAATTTCAAAAATTTCACATGTAGCCTTGTACCTCTTTCCATGACCAGAGGGGCATTTGGCCCGACCAACATTGCCACCGCTCCTGCCCCGCCCGTACTGCGTGCACTTCCAGCAGCATATACAGCTATGTCAGCTGCAACAACAATAGCTAGGCGACCTGTGGGTCAACAATGTCAGTTGGTTAGCTTACCACTGCTATTTAAAACAGATAATTTACCAATCAATAATCAATAATATTATATGACTTGTGTTTGCAGCTGATACAAGATGTGTTCTGATTGGTTAATTCTAGGGCATTATTCTCCTGTAAAGCCCACGGGACAATTACAGGCCTGCATAAATAAAGCAAAAAGCCATAAAATAAACATTTTATTATCCTCCAACATTTGGTCTTTACAGGAAAATCTCAAACCTTGGCCTTGCCATATTGACCTCCCTATCGCTCATTCAATGCGGCAAGGTCTCGGTTTGAGATTTTCCAGTAAAGACCTCACTCTCAGTGAATGAGTAGTTAGTAATGCCTCAATCACTTATTTTATAAGGTCTTATTTGGTTAATTTTATTATCAAATCTTTTCTAGCACTAGAGATTTGAAGGAGCCTAGTGAGGAGTTGGTTTGCCCAAAAATACTTCAACTGGGCAAGCACCCCTCCAGTTAGCCTAAATGGGGCCAATTTATGAATGTTTAGCTCTGAAACAATCGTTCGATTAAACTGATATGTTATAAATTACGTAACTCAGACGTTTGACTCAGATTGAGCTCAGATTAGTAAATTTGGCCTGAAAACTGTCAGAAGTATTCCAGCTGTCAGTGTTTGGACAGTCTGACATCATGTTTAGCTTTCACCTCCATCAAGAGAATTCAAATAGACAGGGTCAATTTTTGGCTAAGGGAATCCAAAATTGAGCTTGCTGGATCTCCTGCCTGATCAACTATTATCTGATTGTAATGTAAGTGATTGTAATGAATGATAGAAGGTGAATAAAGGATTATGAAAGGTTACATAACTAATTCAAAGAATGTACCGAACATTATTAGCTGACGAGCTGTTGATCAAAAAAAGCTGAATAAGGCCCAGTTCAAACGTCGAACTTAACATGTGCTGAACCTAATACCAATTTGGGTCGACCCAAATAACTAAGTTTGGCAGTTGATGCAAACGTCGAACCTTATTTAGTTGAACTTAATTGCAAAAATAAAAACGAGGGTTATTGCAGAC